GGAGGAGAACAGCAGCCTGCGCGAGCTGGTGGAGGACCTGCGCGCCGCGCTGCAGAGCAGTGACGCCCGCTGCCTAGCGCTGCAGGTGCGCGCGGGTCCTGTGGCCCAGAATAGGGGAGCGGGTAATGATGGAACTGGCGGGGGTGTGGGGGCGTCTGAGCACCGGACTGGCTGCAGAGCCCCTACTGGGCAGAGCAAGGGCACACAGGGCAGCCCACCCCACTTTAGCCTACTTGCATCCTGTCCCTATCCCACCCCGTTCCACGCCAACCCACTCCAGTCCCCACCCCTACTCTTATCACCATTTTAGCCCCCATCCCAGCCCCACCCAGATAATCATCCCATATACATGGCGCCCCCATCTCATCTTGCCCCGCTGACCCAGCAGTGGAACCCTCCCAGGAAACCCGGGCTGTCTCACACAGGCTCCTGAGCTCTCTGTCTGGCCAAGTCTAGGAGATAAGGTGTGAGGAAGGCCCATGTCCCCACCCTTCAGGAGCTCCCTGTCTAATGGGGTTTGTGGGCATCTCCACGCATTCAACAAATATTAGCGGGCCTCCCTCAGGGCCAGGCCTAGCATCCCAGTGCTAAATAGGCAATGTCACTGTCGCTCAAGCAGGCACTGGCCACCTAGCACCGGGCAGCCCATCCTGAGATATGGAGAAGGAAGCACTAAGAGAGGCGTGGCCCCAGCCCAGGCACCTGGGATGCAGTCAGCAAACACTGGGGCGCCGTGTCCTGCCATGTACCAAAGGCAATACAGGGGGCTGAGGGGTCAGAGGAGGACAGAAACAGCCTCTGCCCCAGGGGACCACAGGCCAGCAAGGAGCTGACGTATCAGCCCCGCCGGCTCTCCACACGGCCTGGTCACAGCCCTGAGGGGTAAAGAGAGGCGCGGGGCCCAAGGCGTGGGTATCGGTGGCCACAGCGGTGGCCGGGCAAGGGCGGCGGCCAGCGTGCACCGGAGAAGCAAAGTCTGGGGCAGGGAAGTACTCCCTTTACGTGGAGTCAGATCGTCCAGGATCAATTGTTCTCCAAGTCTTTACTGAGCACCTACTGTGTGCCAGGCCAGTTCTGGGTGCCAGTGAAGACAGAAGAAAGCCGCGCCCTCAAGGGGCCGGCAGTCTAGCAGCAGGCACCCGGGAGGGCCGGGGTCGCCGTACGATGCACAGAGCGCTCCCCGAGTCTAGGCAGTGGAAGAGCACAGGGAGCGGGGGCTCCGACTGCAGGAGAAGGGGCGGTTGGGACTCACTACAACCGTGCAAAGAGCAGAACGGGCTTTGTGCCTCGGTTGCCCTTGTCCATTGGGGGGGGGCAAGAGCGCCTGCGTCGTTAGAGCTACGGCGAGGGTTAGACGAGTTCAGATGGGCCCTGGAGAGCGGCACGCACCCGCGTGAGAAACGGCTG